GAGGCCAAGAAGCAAGTCAACTGATGTCCAAGATCAATTCAAAGCGAGAAGTGTTTTGACTTGATATCCTGCCTTTCACTCCCCTCAAGGAGTCTCAAAGCGGCTAACAATCTCCTTTCCCTTCCTTCCCCGCAACAAACACTCCATGAGGTGAGTGAGGTTGTGAGACTTCAGAGAAGTGTGACTGGCCCAAGGTCACCCAGCAGCTGCATGTGGAGGAGTGGGGAAGTGAACTCAGTTCACCAGATTACGAGTGCACCGCTCTTAACCACTACACCACGCTGGCTCTCAAGACTCGATGAAACTTCTTATTAACTGATGTCATTACTTTCTAATGTAGTTTTATGTTTACAATGTAATATTGTATGCTTAGATATGGTTTATGCAGAGAAACTAATTTTTTTGTGGCATTGCCTGACATTTTCAGGAGATAAATTTTGAATTATTTGGTTTTCCAAGAAAACCAAACGTTTCCTTCATAAAACGTAGGTTAGCCAAGCTAAATGTTGTCCAATCATAAAAATCATAGCAGATTTGAATTCCTCACAAAAACGTATTTTTAAGACCCCCTCATTGAAGAAATTTGCAAATAAAAAATAAGTTTCTGAGGGTGGCAGAACTACCATGAGGTCCCCCTCTGCCAATCTTAACACCTGAGAGGGTTGTTAGTGATGGAGGTGGTCTTTTGGAAATTTGAGGCCTAAGTTGTTTAGGGCTTTAAACACCTTGAATTGGGTCCAAAAACAAATAACCAATGCAGCTGTTTTAAAACAAGGGTTATTTGAGCTCTGAATGGAACTCCAGCTAGCAATCTGGCTGCTGGGTTTTGGACCAGCTGAGTTTTCCAAAGCATCTTTAAAGCATCAAGCCCAAACAGCTGGGTCCAGCTCTGGGTTTGAGTGGAGGCGCTGAGAAAGTCATCATCCTGCATTGCTATACCCTCCCACCCTTCAGGATTACCTGCTGGGTGTGGGAAGTGAGAAACAGTTGCAGCACAGCCAGCTGTGCTAGACAGCTGTGAGCTGTTTTAATTATTCAGAAAGCCCCCCATATAGTTGTTGGTGCTGCCATGCATCTGGGCCCCTGGCAACATCCCAAGAATGCCAGTTCTGAACCTGGTCCCAAAAGAAGAATGATTTCTTACCCCGCTCCAGCTGGCCAATGGCGGTGAGGGCAGCCATCTTTGCTTTCCCAAGAACACCCCTGGGCACAGTGCTATATCATGATATAATATTGTTCCCATTGGGACATTCTGTCAAGGCAACTAAGGAGAGCCAAAATGCTGTTTGAAGCAGTGACAGACTTATTTATTTTTAAATGTGTGGGACATCTACCACCTTCTCTTTCAAGACAGGACCCCAGAAAGTTCTTAAGACACCCCCCTTCTCCCGTAAAGATCAATATCTGTGAGAGTTATTCTATCCACACTCACCTCTCTGAAACTTCCAGAACTTACTGGGCCTGAATACTTCAGCCTAGCCAACATGGTGCCCTCCAGATGTTGTGAACTGGAGCTGTGGCAAATGGAGGGATGCTGGGATTTGTAGTCCCAAACATTTGGATTTGGGGTGCAAGTTTTATTCCTGAGTTGGAAAAGGTTAAGGCAAGGATGGAGAATGTTGCTGGACTCCAACGCCCATCATCCCTGAGTACTGACCATGGTGGGCTGGGACTTACAGGTGTTGGATTCCAACAGCTTCCCCATTCCTGGATTGAGGTCCTAGGCATCTCAGGTCCAGCATAATCAGGGGAAGGGCCATAATTCAGAAGGTCCCAGGTTCCATCCCCGACAATTCCAGGTAAGAGTGGGAGAGGCTTGTCTAAAACTCTGGAGAACTTCTTCCAGTCAGTGTAGGCAAATAGATGCACCAATGGTCTGACTTGATATAAGGCCCTGTCCTCTGTTCCTAATCTTTCTGGGTGCATGGAGATCTTTGGAATATATCACACATGCAAAACCATGGACGCATCATCTCTTTTCCCGCTCCCACGTGGCTTAATAAAAAGAAATTGCTTGGCAAGAGTTTAGGACGATAGATGTTTAAACACTTAATAGGCATTAAAACCTGATCTGGGAAAAGCTGGATAGCAGAAAGGAGAAGGAGACTGGCGATTGTATCTGTTACATGGTTCTGTTAGTATTGGATTAAGGAGCTTTCTAACTAGGCGCCAGAAGAAAGGAGTGTGTTTGGGGTTGGGGAAAGGGCAACAACTCGACCAGAACCCAAATGGAGCAGCTTACGCTCAGTGCTAGCCCGCGAAGTAGATTTGTAGCTTCTTGAAATTAAGGTCAGTGGGTGAGTAGTAGGACTAGGATAGCCTTGGACACATCAGCCCTCCGCAAAAAGGAATCACATCCCCCCATTACATCTAAGTGGGATGCTGTTGTGTGAAACACCATAGATATTGGAGATGCTGACTGATAAAAGGTATGTGTTTGGGGAAGGGGCAGAGCATCTGCTGGGGAAACCCAGCCAGATGGGTGGGGTATTATTATTATTACGGTATTTGCTTTTTTTGCAGAGGGTCTCAGGATCAACCCCAGCATCTCCAGGTAGGGGCAGTAGTAAAAAGGTAAAGGGACCCCTGACCATTAGGTCCAGTCGTGACCGACTCTGGGGTTGTGGCACTCATCTCGCTTTACTGGCCAAGGGAGCCGGCGTACAGCTTCCGGGTCATGTGGCCAGCATGACTAAGCCGCTTCTGGCGAACCAGAGCAGCACATGGAAACGGCGTTTACCTTCCCGCCGGAGCGGTACCTATTTATCTACTTGCACTTTGACGTGCTTTCGAACTGCTAGGTTGACAGGAGCTGGGACCGAGCAACAAGAGCTCACCCCATCGCGGGGATTCAAACCGCCGACCTTCTGATCAGCAAGTCCTAGGCTCTGTGGTTTAACCCACAGCGCCACCCGCGTCCCTCAGGGGCAGTAGTAGGGTTGACATATTTCAAAAAGGTGAAAATCTGGACAGAAAAGTTGTTGAGCTTTTTTCTTTGGGGTGGGGGAGTTGTTGAGTTTCATTCTATCCCCCCCCCCTTTGAACTAATTTTGAGGGAAATCGCCAAAAACAACACTGCCGCCATGGGTTGCCATACATCCAGATTTTCCTGGACGTTTCACCGATTTCTGCCCAGACACTGTTTCCGATGGCCAATTGCTGATTGTGTCCGTGAAATTCTGGACGTATGGCAACCGTAGGCAGTAGACAAGCCTGTCTGAAATCCAGGAGAGCTGGGCCAGCGTTCTTACACTTGCTGTGTACACGTCATATCTTTATAGCACATTTATAGCACATTTATAGCACATTTATAGCACATTTATAACACATTTCCGCCTGAAAAATGTAGGATGTGATACATAAGTAGCAGTCAAGTACAACATTCCTTGTTTTCCTAAAGTGGACATGCAAGGGGATGTTTGGTCCAGTCAGTCAAAACTTTCTGTTTCTTCCTGGGCTGGAGCATCCTTCCTTTTGCATGTGACTAGAGTGGGTGTGACCTTACCTGTCCAGGTAGCAAAAAGGACAAGGCACGCAGCCATCTTCCTCTCTTTGAGCTTCTGCATCATTGAAGAGCTTTTCAGCTAGAGATGCTCTGTTGGCTTTCTGCCAACAGAGGACAAAGGGACAAAGGGACTATCTCCATATGGGATAGACTCACATGTATATACTTTGTAACGAAGTCTGCCTTCAGGGATCCAACTGTGAACTGATGATGTGAGTAAACTTCTTTCATATACTTTACACAAGATTGTGGTGTGTATATTCTTTTAAGGGGGAAATAAGGGAACTTACCAGGAATCTAATATTGAGAGGCTTAAACAAGCCTGCAACCAGCTACCTGCTGTGAATTTAAAAGGGAAATGTAAAACTCTGCTAAGTTACAGAACTTGCTAGCGCAAGTTAGGAAGGATATTAATAAACAATATATCCTCTCCTGCCTCCCTGAACATTCCCACAGAATTATGGGAAGCGTAGTTTACCCCTCACACAGCTATAATTCCCAGGATCCTTAAAAACTGCAGTTCCCAGGACTCGTGTGGGTGGGAGGAAAATGTGCTTTAAATGTGTGTCCATGACGGATTCAGCGGCAGATGTCTTTGGCAAGCTGGTGGATGTCTGGAGACCGCAAGGAGGGAGAGGCCTTGATGGGACACCCATTGCTACATTCACCAAGCATGAAATCATTCCTAGTCGGGAGTACTGGTCTCCTGGGGAGGGCATGTTCATCATTGTTCCTTATTCCTTCCAACAATATGTAAAGTGCTTGTTGTTGTTTTTTACACCCCCTAAAATAAATCAGCTAATTGGTTTGTTAACGAGCTTGCGATGATTAAGATCTCATGGGTGCCTGGGCACCACCAGGTTGCTATGGCGGCTCCTTCCTGGAATGTCCTTTCTTTGCTAGAAAGCATTCCGGTGAGAATTTGTGGGGAGGATGGTGTGTTTAGGGTAATATATGTTGCAAGGAAGAAAATGGAGTCCAGGCCTCCGTCCTCTATTTAAGAATAAGGGCAGAACTCTTGTATAAAACAGCCCAAATGTCTCACAGATAAAGGAAGGAAATATATAATATTAGATACAGACAAGTGGTTCAATTGAAGGGACAAGTCTGTTTTTAATTATCTTGTGGGAGGCTTTTTTTTATATGTGTGATTTGTAATTTTTATTCTGAACCACCCTTAAATGCTCTTGTCAGAGCCAAAAGGTGGAGTTTTTTAGGTCACCTCCAGTATTTTGCAAGAGGGATTCGAGCAGATACTGGAAATGTGGATTTGTGCAATTGAAATGAATGAAAGTACTCTGCTGCCCTAGTGTAAGAAACACTTTTTATTTTATTTATTTTTGTAAAAGGGGGGAGGACTTATTGCAGTTAGGAAAGTGACGGGAAGATGGACTGAAAAGTGTAGGATGAAGGAATAGTTGCAAGGAGGCATATAAACAGCCCACAAGCAAATCTGGATGGATGCTCGTCCTATGACCCTCCCATAAAGAAAACTGCCAAGGTGGGATGGCTAAGTTGGTAGAGCATGAGACTCTTAATCTCTGGGACGTGGGTTCGAGTTCCACCTTGGGCAAAAGATTTCATCATTGCTGGGGGCTCGACTAGATGACCCTCCCGGTCCATTCCTACTCTACAATTCTATGATTCTATTACTCTAAATCAGAACAAATGTTCAATTAAAATTAGACACAGCCTGACTTCCACATGCAAGCAAATCAGGATGAATACTCAATAAACTGGTAGTCTGGAAGAGACTTTACAAATGCAAACTGCAACTAAATGTTGCAGTATATCCTTGCCCCCTAAGAGGAGTGCTTCCATATTAGGGTTGAGGTTGCCAGCTTGCGAGGCCAGCATACTGTAAATTGTTAGGGGGCCCAGGCAAGCCCGTTCATCCTTCCCCTCCCACTTCAGTTTTCCATTTTTCTTTTCCAGCTGATGTGTAACATTCCACAGCTCAACATTCCATATTAAACTCAAAAACCTTTCCTGAATACAGTGGTACCTCGGGTTAAGTACTTAATTCATCTGTTCTTAACCTGAAACTGTTCTTAACCTGAAGCACCACTTTAGCTAATGGGGCCTCCTGCTGCCGCCACGCCGCCGGAGCCCGATTTCTGTTCTCATCCTGAAGCAAAGTTCTTAACCCAAGGTACTATTTCTGGGTTAGTGGAGTCTGTAACCTGAAGCGTATGTAACCCGAGGTACCACTGTATTGTAGAAGAAATCCCTTGCTTCCTCGATCAAAGGGAACTCTCAAAGTGTTTTAAGGTGTTGATATAATTTACAAATATATCACAGGAAAATATAGGCTTGTAGCCAATGTTAGTCCTACTCAGAGTAGGCCCAGAGTAGAAATTATAGATCTGCCATGTCCATTAACCCAGATAGGTTTACTCTGAGTAGGACTAACATTGGATACAGCCCAGTGTGTTCAATATCAAAATCGTCATTACTTATTGCTGAACAATACATCTTTTTGACTTCTGTTTTTCTGTAACATCGTTACAGAAAATAACATCTTTATTTATTGATGAACAATACATCTTTTGGATTTCTGTTTTTCTGTAACATATGTGAAACTGAATTTCTACCCCATCTTTACACTGAATATTGCAGTGATTCTATTTTTACACACACATATGGATAGAAGTATGTGTCACAATCAGCACTGTAGATGAGTCTAAACAATGCCATATGCTGACTGAGCAATAGTCACAATTCTTATTATTCCATTAAAGGTTCCACTCCCCCTCATTTCTTTGGCTCTGTTTTAACACTACAAATCAAAGCAGAACTTAAAGATGCAATCAATACATTTTAAGGAGTCAGATTCAAATAGCAAATTCAGTTTCAGAGGCAACTTTCGCTGTGCTCAGTGGGGTTTACAGCCAGATTAGTGACAATAGGATTGTAGCCTAATCATCCAAACTTCCTTTTGTGCCATGCTTTATGGGCACAGGTTTGGGATTTCCAGGTCCATAGCAAAGAAAACCTGAGTCCTGTTTACTCTGATTCAGCTATAAAATGTGGGTTTTCCTGGGGAAAGGGGCAGAAGAAAACAAAACCGCTTGGACACAGAAATCCCAAACCTTTGCCTAGAAATGAGGCACAAAGGAAATTTTGAATGAGCCCAGTGTGATCCTGTCAGGGAACTGCCATCAGTGCCGGAGGGAGAGAGTAAAATCCAGAGGGATTCCGGAGAGCGTCCCTGGAGTGGGAGAGGCAGCCCATCTTCTGGGGAAGAGAATCAGCGTAGCACCAGTGGAGAAGGGGGGCGGATGGGGGAAGCAGCGAGGCGGTCCCATGACTCCTTGCCGGGGACCAGCAGGGAGAGTAGAGGTCCTCCGCTGCCTACGCCCTCCTTGCGCAGAAGGCTTTCGCGCAGAGAGAGTAGGAGGAGACTAGGCGTCAAAGAGCTTCTTTGCTGGAAGAAGTTTAAGAAACGCCCACTGACGGATTCTGCCAGCGATTGAGACAGCCACGGGTGAGTGGCTGTCTGGACAGGAAAGGTTCACTCAGGCAACCCAGCCAGGTGTTTGCACCGGCTTACGCACGAGCAACCTTTAGAACCATTACAGATCCTATACATGTTGACTCAAAAAACTAGCTCCATTGAATTCAATGGAACTTACTCCGAGGTAAGTGTGTGTATAAGATTGCAGTCTCATGTTAACATATCATAGCTGTCAACATTTTCCTTTTTTTAAGGGAAATTCCCTTATTCCGAATAGGATTCCTATCAAGAAAAGGAAAAAGTTGACAGCTATGAATCCTACTAACTTTAATTCAGGCTAAAATGTTTGATGGGCAAAAGCCTTTAAACCAAAAAATCATAATACAGTGGTACCTCAGGTTAAGTACTTAATTCTTTCTGGAGGTCCGTTCTTAACCTGAAACTGTTCTTAACCTGAAGCACCACTTTAGCTAATGGGGCCTCCTGCTGCCGCCACACTTCCGGAGCACGATTTCTGTTCTCATCCTGAAGCAAAGTTCTTAACCTGAAGCACTATTTCTGGGTTAGCGGAGTCTGTAACCTGAAGCGTATGTAACCCTAGGTACCACTGTACTTCTGATGCGCAATACTTTGTTTAAGCCTTGTTTCCTGGAGCAGAATTTGGGCATATGGGTTGCCTTGGGTCATACCTGCTTCAGCCCCACAGAGTTATGGGTGTCTCATTGCAGGAACCAATGCACTTCTGTAGTGTGGTTAGGAATTAATGGCTGCATCTAGGGGAAGCTCTCAGTTAATACCCAGCAGAGCACGACTCTGCTGTTTTTCTCAGCTGCTTTTCCACCTTCCCAAGCCGCACCTCAACAAAACTTATTTTGCTTTTGAACAGTTGTGGACCAGGGCCTCCCTCTCCCCCTACGCCACTGCCCTTGCAACCCCCTTGCTGTTTTTCGGAAGTGCCGCTCGCCCTGGCAGCATCTTCTGTCACGGGTACGGTGTTTCCAGAGCCTCAGAGACACTGAGTCACCTGCTCCATTGTTCCAGGTCAAAGGAAAAAGCTGTCTGGTGTGATGCGTGTGGCGATGGGGCAGCGATGGCTCCCGAGAGGCCCAAGGAATGTGCTGAGGTGTATGCAGCCTTCTCTCCTTTTCCTGGAAACACCGCTGAGGGAGGATGCATAATCACAATGCCTGTTTGCTGCCAAGCGTCACAAATCTCTCTTGCCAAGGGATTGGCTGAGCTGACAGGGTGTCGCAGACAAAGGAGGGCTGGGATTGGCTGGAGAGCAGGGATGGAGAACCTCTATCAGCCTTCCAGGGATCACATGACAATGGCCGGCCCAACCACCTCTCTATACTGGGCAGAGTGGTTGGGCGATTAGGCATAAGATGGTGACGGCCTCAGACACATTTAAAATCCAAACATACTCCATTTTGACATAATGTATTAGAGGGTAATATAGGGACGCGGGTGGCGCTGTGGTCTAAACCACTGAGCCTAGGACTTGCTGATCAGAAGGTCAGTGGTTTGAATCCCCGTGACGGGGTGAGCTCCCATTGTTTAGTCCCAGCTCCTGCCAACCTAGCAGTTCGAAAGCACGTCAAAGTGCAAGTAGATAAATAGGTACCCCTCCAACAGGAAGGTAAATGGTGTTTCCGTGTGCTGCTCTGGTTTCACCAGAAGTGGCTCAGTCATGCTGGCCACATGACCCGGAAAAACTGTCTGTGGACAAACATCGGCTCCCTCGGCCAGTAAAGTGAGATGAGCGCCGCAACCCCAGAGTCGTTCGCAACTGAACTTAACTGTCAGGGGTCCTTTACCTTTATTAGAGGGTAATAAATAACGACAACAACAACCCAGCAGCCTCACCCCACCTAATGGCTGTGCCAGCCCTGACACTGAGCTTTGTTTAGACCAACCTGATCAATTGCCCTTACCAATTTCAAGACCTTTCAGGGTTCAGCTTCTTCCTGCATTTGATGCCATCTGGCTTCTACGGCTCACCAAACATGCTCTCTCTTTTACACCGGATTACGGTTCTTCATCCACAGTGTTTCAGTGCTCTCTTACACTATCTTTTTTCTCTCTAACTTTCCCTTATCAATTATTATTATTATTATTACTATTATTATTATTATTTATACCCCACCTATCTGGCTGGGTTTCCCCAGCCACTCTGGGTGGCTTCCAGCAGAATACAGTCATACCTCGGGTTACAGACGCTTCAGGTTGCGTTTTTTTGGGTTACGGACCACCGAAACCCGGAAGTACCGGAAAGGGTTACTTCCTGGTTTCATCGCGCATGCGCAGAAGCGCTAGATCATGCTTTGCACATGCACAGAAGCACCGAATTGCAACCCGCGCGTGCACAGACGCACCGCTGCGGATTGCGGACGCTGCGGGTTGCAAACGTGCATTCCGCAAGGATCACGTTTGCAACCCAAGCGTCCACTGTATTAAAATACAATGATTCATCAAATGTTAAAAGCTTCCCTAAATAGGGCTGCCTTCAGAGATCTTCTAAAAGTCAGATAGTTGTTTCTTTCTTTGAGATCTGATGGGAAGGCTTTCCACAGGGCGGGCGCCACTACCAAGAAGGCCCTCTGCCTGGTTCCCTGTAGCTTCACTTCTCGCAGGGAGGGAACCGCCAGAAGGCCCTCGGCGCTGGACCTCAGTGTCCAGGCTGAACGATGGGAGTGGAGATGCTCCTTCAGGTATACTAGGCTGAGGCCCTCCAACATTTCTCCAATGAAAATAGGGATGTCCTAAGGAAAAGCGAGACATCAAATCCGAAACTAGGACAGCTTCTGTAAATCTGAAACTGTCCCTGGAAAATAGGAACACTTGGGGGGGGCAGTCTGCATTACTTCAACTCCTCCCTCCCAACCTCAGAAGGGGAGCAGAATTCTGGATACAGTACCACTTCCTCTAATCAATTAGGTTCCATCACTTAGGTTCCTTCTCCTTTGAAGAAGTGCTGTGGCTCATATTTCTGTATGAAATATTTCTGTATGAAATATCGTATTTCTGTATGAAGGATCCCAGGTTCTTTGTTTGTTTTTGAATGATTTTTATTGAGTTTTACGGATTTTCTCATCATCACAATCAACATTATCTCA